TGGTGTGCAAAAACTTTTTAGTAAGATGAGATCCCAGTTTTTGATTCTTCGAAGTATTTCCCATGCAGTTTGGTTTTTGTTCATGAACTCTCTGCGTATCCCCATGTCTTCAAGATTTCTACCTACTTTCTCTTCCAGTAGATTTAGCGTTTCTGTTTTAATATTCATATCTTTGATCCATTTTGATTTTAGTTTAATGCATGGTGACAGACATGGGTCTAATTTTAGTCTTTGTCATGTGGAAAGCCAGTTTTCAGCACTGTTTATTAAAGAGGCTATCTTTCTTGCAATGAACATATTTGGCCCATTTGCTGCAGATAAGGTGGGTGAGTGTGTTTATGGTTATGTCTGCATCTTCTAATCTGTCCCATTGATTCTCAATTCTGTTTCTTTGCCTGAATCATGCTGATTTTATCACAATAGCTTTGTAGCATAATTTCAAGTCAGGGATTCTATTACCTCCTGCCTTTCCTTTGTTGCCCAGGATTGCTTTTGCTATTCTAGGCCTCTTCTGGTTGCAGATGAATTTTAGGAATGTTTTTTCTAGGTCTATGAGGTATGCTAATGGTATTTTAATTGAGATTGCATTGAGTCTGTTCAACAATTTTGGGGGGTATGGCATTTTCACAGTGTTTGTTCTTCCCATCCACGAGCAAGGAATATCTTTCCATTTTCTGAAATCCTCTTCAATCTCTTTTTCAGGGAACTGTAATTTTCACTACATAGCTCTTTTACTTCCTTTGTTATATTGATTCCTAAGTGTTTAATTTTTTTTTTTTAGGTGCTATTATGAAAGGTATATTTTCCTGATTTCTCTCTCAGTGTGTTTGTTGTATGCGTATAGGAATCTTATTGATTTTTGAGTGTTGATTTTGTTTCTAGCTATGCTACTGAATTTGGTTATTAAATCTACAAACCCTAGGTCAAGTTTTTGGCATCTTCTTTTAGAGTATCATGTCATCTGCGAATAATGATAATTTCACTTCTTCCTTTTCTATCTTTATCCCCTTTATTTTTGTCTCTGTCTAATTGCTCTGGCTAATGTTTCCAGTGCTATATTGAATAGGAGTGCAGACAGTGGACATCCATGTCTTATTCCTGCTTTTAGAGTGAAAGTTTTCATTTTTGGTCCATTTATTATTATGTTGGCTGTTGGTTTTTCATAGATGGCTTTTATAAGAATGAAGTAAAGACCATCTTGTCTTATTTTCTGTAGGGTTTTTATCATGAATGAGTGTCAGATTTTTATCAAAAGCTTTTTCTGCATCTGTGGAGATGATCATGTGATATTTGTCCTTGGCTCTAATGATATGATGTATTACATTAAATGATTTTATATATTGATCCATCCCTGCATTCCTGGGATGAATCTTGCTTAGTCATGATGTATAATCTTTTGATGATTTGCTGCATTGTGTTTGCTGGTATTTTATTGAGTATCTTTTCATAGATGTTCTTCAGAGAGATTGGCCTGTAGTTTTCTTTTCTGGTTGGTTCTTTCTCTAGTTTTGGCATGAGGATAATACTTGCCTCCAGGAATGTATTTGGGAGTATTGCTTCCCTCTGTGTTTCTTTAAAGAGGTGAGAAGAATTGGTATTAAATCTTCTCTAAAGTTGTTATAGAATTCAGCTGTGAATCCTTCAGGACCTGGGCTTTTTTTTTGTTGGTAAGTTTTTTATTACATTACATTTTCAATTTCATTGGCTGATATTGGTTATTTTATTATTTTTATATCTTCTTGATTCAGCTTTGGTAATTCGTATGTATCTAGGAATCTGTCCATTTCTTCTGTATTTTCCATCTTATGAGATTTTCAAAGTAGGTATCAGTGATCTTCTCAATTTCTACAGGATCTGTAGTGATTTCACCCCTTTCATTCCCTATTGCATGGATTTGAGGTTTTTTCTTTTCGTTTTTTGATAAGGTTGGCTAGGGGTTTATCAACTTATTTATTCTTTCAAAGAACCAACTCTTTAATTCATTAATTCTTTGTTTTTTTTTTTTTTTTTTTTTTTTTTTTGTTTGTTTGTTTGTTTTGTTTTTTTCTCCGGTACCGGGAACCAAACTCACGACCTTGCGCTTGCCAGGCAGGCGCTTTGCCACTGAGCTAAATCCCCAGGCCCTCATTAATTCTTTGTATTGTTTTCTTAGTCTTCACTGTAGTAATTTCTGCTCGGTCTTTATAATTTCCTCCCTGCTTTGGGTTTTGGGCTTGACTTGCTCTTCTTTTACTAGAAGGCTGAGGTGCAGCGTATCGTTGTTTACTTGTGCTCATTCTGTTTTTCTGATGTGTGAATTCACCACTATAGATTTCCCTCTTAGGACTGCTTCACTGTATCCCACAGGGTCAGGAAAATTGTATCTGCATTTTTGTTTGATTGTAAATATTGTTTAATTTCATCTGTGAGCCATTGGTTGTTCAGAATGCTGGTATTTAATGTCCCTGTGTTTATGGAGTTTTTGTGATTTCTTTTGTCAATAATTTCCAATTTCATTGCACTATGGTCTAATAGTATGCATGGGATAATTTCAATGCTTTGCATTTACTTAAGCGTGTTCTATTGGCTAATATATGGTCTATTTTAGAGAACATCTCATGTGCTGCTGAGAAGAATGTGTATTATGATGTTGTTGGGTGGAACACTCTGTAAAGGTCATGTGTTCACAAGTTTGTTGTAGTTCTGTTATTTCTTTGCTGGTATTTTGTCTAGTTGATCTATCTCTTTGTGCCAATGGGGTGTTAAAGTCCCCTGTTACGATTGTGTTACTGCTTATTTCATTTTTCATGTCTGTTAAAATTTGTCTCATATAGTTGGATGCTCCTATATTTGGTGCATAGATATTTATGATTGTTATCTCTTCCCCTTGAAGTCTTCCCTTAACAAGTATTTAACGACCCTCTTTATCTCTTTTGATCAGTTTTGGTTTAAAGTTCACATTGTTGGCAAACAAATTAGCTGCACCTGTTTGTTTCAGGGTTCTTGTTGCATGGAGTATTGTTTTCCATCCTTTGATTTTCAATCTATGAATTTCCTTTTGAGTTAAATGTGTTTCTTGTATACAGCATATTGTTGGATTTTGTTTCTTGGTCTACTCTGCCAGTCTGCTTATTTTGGTTGGTGCACTGAGACCATTGACACTGATGATTATAATTGATATGTATTGGCTTATCTTTGTCATATTGGCAATCACCACTATAAATATCTATTTCCTGCTGTTGCTTCCTAATTTTTCCCTCTATTTAATTGCTTGCTTTGCTTGGTAGTTCCTTTCTATTGTTGTTCTTGAAATTGTGGTGATTTTTATCTCTTTCCAGAACATCTTTTAGTACTCTTTGTAGGGTTGGTTTCACTCTCATGAATTTCTTCAATTGTTCTTTGTTATGGAAGCATTTTATTTCTCTATTAATTTTGAAAGATAGTTGCAGAGGGTACATAAATCTGGGTTGGAAGTTGTTTTCTTTCAGGACTTGAAATACTTCACTAATTGTGTTGAGAAATCTGCCATGATTTTCATGGGCTTTCCTTTATAGGAGATCCGTTTCTTTTCTCTTACAGTTTTTAATATTCCCTTCTTTTGCTGCATTTCTGGGATATTGATTACTGGGTGTAGATTTATTTTGGGTATAGCTAATTGGTGTTCTATGTGTCTCCCTTTCTTGTTTGTCTGATTTTTTTTTCCATGCTTGGAGATTTTCTGCTATTACTCCTACAAATAATCTTTTTCTGTCATTTCTCCTGACTCCTGTTGTTTCATTGACACCTATTAGTCTTATATTGCTTTTCCTTGCATTATCTTGCAGCTGTTGAATTGTTATTCCCTGGTTCCTTGTATTTTTAAGAGATTGTTCCTTTCATGATCATTAGCTGCAATGCTGTCTTTAAGGTCTGACAGTATATCTTCAGTTTCATTTAAATGGTTTAGCCAGCATAAAATGGAATTTTTAATTTATTGGATATCTCTTTGAATCTGTTTTATGCATCCTAATTCTTTCCTGTATTGTTCATTCTAGATTTCCATCATTTTTCTATGCCCCTCTATTTTTTGTCTATGTCTTCTTTAGATGTGCTGAAGAATTCTTTCATTATTTTTGTCGTTTCTTTTTTTTACCTGAGAGATTATTTCACTATTTTTTGTCTATGTCTTCTTTGGATGTACTGAAGAATTCTTTCATTATTTTTGTCATTTCTTTTTTTATCTGAGAGATTATTTCTGATTTTATTTTTTCTATGGCTTGATGGAGTTGTTTCTTTGCTTCAGTTGCTATCATTTCAGAAATTTCATCTGGGTGACTTCTAAGCTCTTACATGTTGTTGTCTCCTCAATTGTTCTGCATGGGGTGGAGGTTTGATATTGCATTTTGTTGCTTTGTTTTGTCATTTTCCAAGATCCCAAGGCTTCCTGGGCTCAGTGTCACTCCTGTGATTGTGGGGTGTGTGGATTGTAGAGTCACTCCATTCCAGAGTAGCTCACTGAAACCCTCAAACTTCCTAGGGACTCAGGATCTCTCCTGGGATGGTGGCAGCAGGGAAGAGGCAGAGTTCTCCTCTCCCAGGCAGTTCACCAAAGCTCCTAAGCTTGCCTGGGGTTCAGTGTCACTCCAGTGATGGTATGGGTGGGTGAGGCATGGCTCACTGAGGCTCCCGAAGCTCCCCAGGACCCAGTATGCCCCTCATCTTGATTAACTTTTAAGGAGAATGATTTTAGAAGGCAATATCCTTTTGAATATATATACTTTTTATGCGTCAACTACTTTATTTTGAATTTTGATATACAGCTCTATAGTTTTCATTATAAATATGTTTTGGTTCTTGAAATTGTGGTGATTTTTATCTCTTTCTAGAATATCTTTTAGTACTCTTTATAGGGTTGGTTTGGCTCTCATGCATTTTTTCAATTGTTCTTTGTTATGGAAGCATAAAATTCTTGAATATTGATTAGATCATTGAGCATGAGTAAAGACCATGATAGGAAGTAGAAGTATAAAGTTGAGCTCATATCTAATTCACATATAGGGTATTTTATATATATTTTAAATTCAATGGACATTTAGTTATTGCTCAATATAATGAAAGCAGCCAGGTATGTTGGTGCACAGGATGCTGAGGCAGGATTGCCATGAGTTCGAGGCGAGTCTGGTCTACACAGTCAGTTCCAGGCAAGGGTGAACTACAAATGTGATACCCTGTCTCAAGAAAACACAGAAAATACAAATAAAAATAAAAGAAATAAATAGTGATATAGAAAATTTTTTTATTAAATCTAGAAATGAGCTGATCTAATAAATGTTTTAAAAACTTGTACACTTCATTAAATGAAGTTAATGTTGATCAACAATGTGAATTAAAAGTTATATAAATTTAATATTCAGAAGCAAAAATTTGAGTTATGGCCTATCTATTAGGGGAAAAAGTTAAATGAAGGTGGTGAGCAAATTGGGTGAAGAAAATGATCCCTCCAGAATTTCACAGTTTTTAATGGGTGATGATTGTAGAGCATGACATCAGATCTTCTGACTTTATGAACCATTTCTAGCAAAATACACTTCCATTAAAACTAGTGAGTGCAATATTGCATTGAGTAAACATTGACAAAATTTCCCTAAGATGGAAAAGTAAAGGTATGCATGTATTTACAGACTAAATATTGGTCAACCTCTGCCATAGGTTCCAAATTCAGTAGTTACCAAATGCTTAAAATGATTAGATTTCAATTAAACATTTAGAACAAAACAACAAAAAACCCAAAGTCTTATTTGTACCCCAAACACAAGTCACTACTAGAGCTATTACAAATATTTAACAAATAACAATGGCTAGCATTCAAAGAAGGCAAATAAATAACATGGAAGAATACTGATATGATGATCTCCAAAGAATAAACAATGTACTTGCTTAAATGCAGCTATCTAAAAGAGTGCTTCCTGGTATAAGAGCACAATATTCACAAATGGAAGCACTTTTAGGATTAGTGAGAATATTTTCAAACTGTGATGTTGGAAGAGCCAAAAAACGATGGATAGGAAATAATGAAAGAAATTATCATTATCCATAATGAATTTTAATTTTTTTCCATTTTTATTTCTTATTAGTACCTGTTTGCAGTATATGATCATATTTCTCTTGGGGAATTGGAACATGTACATAACACATAATTCTTTCATTTTCTGTTCCTGCTTCTATCTCTTGGTCCCTCTCTCATTTGCAAAAGATCTATCTCCCTTTTTCCCACCATCTATTTTTTATTTTGCTTTTTATTTATATTTTGGGGTTCTCATATAAGAGGAGCCATGTGATATTTAAGCTCATGTGCCTGACATATTACACTTAATATTATGGTTTCAAGGTGCATCCATTTTCTTACAAATGAATCTAGTTTATTTTTATATATAGCAAAGTAGACCTCCATTGTGTATAAATACCATACATTCTTTATCCATTTATCTGTTGATGGATGCATAGACCACTTTTAAAGTTTAGCTATTATGAATTGTGCTTCTATAAACATGGATATGCATGGATCACTGTAACATGAAATGTGATCTTTTTCATTGCCTTTTAATTTGTACTTTTAATTTCATGAACACTTTACAACTGCTCATTATAAGGGATAATTAAGAATTGTTCTAAGTGGAGAAATATTTGAAAAATATAATACCCCTGGTCCTCCTCAGGGTCTGGTGCCAGGGAAAAGAAACCCTGAGCCTGGACCATAACTGTGTCATCCATCTGTTTTGGTTCCCAGTGCTGGGCTTCTAACACACACACACACACACACACACACACACACACACACACACACACACACACAAACACACACACACACACTACTATTCTTAGGATGTCCTTCAGGCCTGTGATCCCCACACTGGCCTTCATCTAGGAGGCCCTGGACTACAAAAATTTCTACACTCCTGTGGGAGAACTTCTCACCTTGTCTGTCATCTAGGGTTGTGACTGCTAGGTTGAGTACCAGACTGTGGAGCCCCTTGACTCCTTCCCCTGGATGCTCTGGGCAGTTCACAAGATGGCCTGTTCTCCAAACTTCCTCTATTAGCAGTGCCAGGGCTGAGCAACAGCTTCTTCTTTTACTTATCCCGATTTTTGTATTTCACCTGAATGCTATGTAGTTCAAATTGTCTTTCTGCAAAATGTTTCTCTACCACCCAGGGGGCAGCCATTTACCTGATGATCTGGGTATCTCAGAATGCCCTATCTCTACTTCCTGTAGACCACCACGATGCACTCTTCTGATTTCTTATCTGTGTCTTATCTTCTGGAAAGCAAGCTCCAGGAGGAAAGGGTTGTTTTGCTCTCTGCCATATCCTCCAAACCTGGAATAGTGAATTACAAATTACTCAAGAATTAAATAAGCAGAAAAATTTAAACAAAAAAACATATTCCAGATAACATTTGAGGTTAGAAACTATTGTGTACGATACAAAAATTGAATTGGAAGAGACAAAACTAATTTTTCTGACTGTGTATATTAGAAAGACCTAAGGACTTGAGATAAAAATAAATAAAACTAAAGAATTAATGAGTATTTTGGTAAGGAGTTGGATTGTTTCTCCCAGGAATTTGAATCTGCAGGGGAAATTAAATCTCTACAGTGGTAGATACAACTAGAGTTAAGCCATTCTATTAACAGTGCCCTAATAAGTTGTTCATGGGCCGTTGAAGCACCCTTCATTCATAGATTCAGTTTTATTAGTTCAGCAAAGAATTTCCTTTTTCTTTTCTGGCTTAACTTAATAAAGCTTACCATTTGTCCTTTGATATCAATATAGCCTACTTGGTAAAATAAATAAAAATGATTTTATACTTTAATTGAAGTACTGATAATATAGATTTATCTTTGCCAAGTCTGACCAAAAAAAGATACAGAGAAAGCATAAAAATAAAATATCGAAACTGAAAAAAAAGAGCATCACAACAAATAGAGCAGCCATATTAGTACATAACTGACTGGCATTCTTGGAGAAACATATGTTGTGGTTAATTTAATTTTCTTACAAATTGGTAAGTAAAATAGAAGTTCCTAACACTTGAGCAAATCTTTATAAAAGGTCTTCATTTTGTTGTTTTAATAAGTAACTCCAAATGTAAAGCACTTTTTTGGGTAATTCCACCTTTATGTTTCCATCTTACCATCTTCTGACCATTACAGAATGATATTAAAACATCATTTTACTTTCAACCTATGTTTTTATGATTTGCTTATGATCCTGGTTATTAAAGTATTAGTACTTTTAAAACTCTCTATTACAAACTCTTCATTAAAGTATTAATCTTTGTGAAAATTTTGCCACTATTTGTTTGTCTTTTAGTTTGCTAAACTTTGTTAACAATTGTTTTTAAGAAAATACTGTCATGTAGTTAAAATACAGCAATATATTCTATGATCTTCACATTTTTATGTTTAAATATTCTGCCATATTTTATTCTAATCATAATTTCTCCCATGTTTTGGTTTTAGCTTTTCATACATATGGAATTTATTTTGATTTAGAGGGTGAGTTGTGGTTCTAAATTGATTATTTTAAGGTAGAAACATCTTTTATGGCTAACCCCTCCATTCCTGATCTATAGTATTATCCTGATCATAAGTTAAATTAAATTCTCATGGATGAAGTATTCATTTATGGCTGTCAATACTCTTCCACTGATTTGTCTACCTAATCTGCATCCATAGAACATGATTTTTTTCTAGCTGTTGTTATAGTTGAAGGAAGTGGGTCATGGAGACTCTATCTTGTCCTTAGCCCTTTTCTGGCTTTCTCTCTGTCTTTCTGTCTGTCTTTCTGTTTCTCTCTTTGTGTTCCCAGCTGCAATGAGGTGAGAAGCTTTCCTCCACCATGCCTTCCTTCCATGATGTTTCTGCCTTGGCAGAGGCCTGAAAGCAATGGAGCCATGTGACCATAAATCGAAGTCTTAAACCTGAAGCCAAAACAAACCTTCCCTACTTTACATTATTGATCTCAGGAATTTTTTCATAGTGATGGAAATCTGAATAACATAGCCATAGTTTGATTGACATGGAACTAGAACTACAAACTGGAAGAAAAGGGTGAACATATTCATAGGTATTTATCATATGTTTTTATCATATACTATTACAAGGTTATAAGATGTTGAATGAGGTATAGTTCCTAATGCTGAGAAATTTGTGGTCAATAAAATTTGCTAATCATTAAGAAAAATTTTCCTTTGGTTTATTTAGAACACTAAGAATTCAGCTTTTGGCCAAAGTAGAGATGTTTGAAACCTGGGAACAAATGGTATTTGAGCTGACCAGTTCCTTAAGTGTAAATATTACCCAAGTAAACATTGAAGAATAAGACCCAGATACTAAAAAGTACAATAATTTTAAGAGATGAGTTGAATCAAAGGTCAAATTGTGAGCATTCAAAATGAAGTTGATTTTAGTTTTTAGTGTTAAAATAAAAAATAAATGTACCAAATCAACATGGTGTTGTTAGAGGTTGTAATGCTAGTAAAGGTACCATGAAACTGAAACAAACATATATATGTACACAGAAAAAATAGTATTTTCCCTCCTGTTTCTTTCTGTGATAAAAAAATATGACTTCGATTTTTCAGATATAATAACTTTAGACAATGTAAATAAATGTGAGGTAAAAATAAAATCACCATGATTATGTCTTCCAAATTATAGTACATACAATTGATACAGGAAAATAAAAACTCCAACTTGAACAATGTATGGGATGAGTTTGTGTTCTCTAAAATCAAAGAATGAATTTTAGGAATAATGGAGGTTAACAGCAGAATATATTTATTGAGGGAAAGAAAGCTTTGGTCCAACACAGGGACAGAAGCGGAGCCCATGTGGGTTGCCCAAGACTGTCTTTTCTAGGGTCTTTTATAGAGGAAAACCACAAGGTGAGGTGGATCCAAGGTAGGGGACAAAAGAGAAATTACAAGGTAGGCATGAGGTGGGACAAAACTATGGCCAGCCAATAAGATTACAAGTATAATTATTCAGGTAAAATTGATTAAATAGGGGTCAAATGGGGAAGCAAATTGCATAGCAAGTGGACAGGAATACAGAACAAGGGCTTTTGCTGTAAGGGGTTGGGTCAGGGACTCTTCAAGGTGATCACTACCTGTTTAGAATATCAATCTCTGATGTTTACACGTAGGGAAGTATGTGGGTGTATTTGTTTAGTCCTTTGTCTTGATGTCTGGCCCACAGCAAATGTGTATCTTATCTTGTCTTTCATGAGGCTCCTTGAATGGCCTGGCCCTGTATGACTGCCTATAACATTTCTATCTAACTCAGGTGCCTATACCACAATAGTATACCTTATCTATATCACTATTTTGTAACTTTACATGTATCTCTGTCAATATTTAGATCAAAGTTAGTATACTGTTTATTACCTTGGGTTTTCACTTGAGAAGTTATCTCTTTATTTGTAAACATCACTAAAAAATAAAATTTTAATATCTATACATAATTCTAGAATGTATGTTGAAAGTCTGTGCGTTAAAATTAGTACAATTATTCTAATCATTGTTTTCAGAAAATTATTTTATATATTTTGATGAATCATATAATCACTCATTTTTTATTAATAAGTATAGTAAGCAATTGCTTCTCATAATAACGCACCAATAAGACTAGCTGCTAGTTAAGATTGTTAGTATTCAAAGAAAATAATAGTACTCATTCAATTCCTTATGTTGTTTGTGCTAATTATTCAGGAGAAACCCAGACATTTATCATGTAAAACCAAATGATGTATCCACACAAATGTAAGTCTATACATTAAATAACTCTCTATAGAGTTTCCATTCTCTGGGGGAAAACTGATTCTCCTTTTAGCTAGTTTTTAAGGAACTGAATAAATCTGGGAACGCTAAAAGAACTAAAGTTCCTGACATCGGTTTATGTTAGATTTACAGAAACATCTCTTGAAAGTCCAGAGGAGGTGCTATGGTCCAATTTTATTCTATTTTTCTCCTAGAAACAAGTTATTATTTGGAAAACTACAAAATAAAGACTGTTTTAATGTATCAGTGTTGGGGATTGAAGCAAAGGCCTCGTTTGTGTAAAATAGGCACTTTATCACTATGTCCCCAGCTTCAAAAAATAAATTTTGTTTCTACTTGTCCTGTCTGCCATGTATATAACGAGAAATTAGAACTAAATGGGAGAGGAAGTTCTAAGAAATGATTTCAGCTAAGAGTAGCTGGAGAGACTGTAGGCTTCACATGTTCTGCATTATGGAATTACTTCAGGAGCTGTGGGACTCATACAGAGTGAGTTATAAAGGTATATTCTAATTAAGTCTGAGTAAAATTCTCCTGGTAAATTTGGTTGAAGTTATTAACAAAGATTTGTTGAGAAAGACAATCTCGTCCTTTCTTATAAACATAGTTGTTAATTTTACTAGTTTCTGGGTTCAATTATTTCCTCAAATAGTTATGTTTTGTCAATAGAAGAAAAACCTTTAAAGTAAAAAGCTTTCAAGTTAATTTCAGACAATGTATATACCTGGTAGATAAAGTCACAAAATCATTTGAAATAAAATAATTATTGCAGTTGATACTTGAGAAAATACTATGGTGCCCCTGAAGAACTTGCAAAAATTTTTTTTCTGGTAGATTATTCTATATAACATGTAGTAATATACATGAACATATGTTTAATTCTTGCAAAGATATTTGAAATTACCCTGAGAAATCTGAAAGGATCCCAACTCACTACATTTGTACATTGCAATTATCCAGTTATCACGTCCCTGTGATTAAAAGCCACAAGCACCTTTCTGGTAATTTGACTTGCCATATAACTCACATATAAGAGACAGAGCACTAGTCAAATAGCAAGAAGTACAGCAAAACCTTGGTTTGCGAGCATAATTCATTCTGGAAACATGCTTGTACTCAAAAGCAGTTTTATAGCAAAATGAATTTTTCCTTAAGAAACAATGGAAACTCAGGTGATTTGTTCCACAACCCAAAAATATTCATATAAAAATGATTACAATACTGTAATATAATAGAAAATAATAAAAACATAGAAAAAAATAGGAGGTGAAACCCAGAAACTATCATGAGTGGAGGTCAATACAGGAGTAGAGATTTCATGGCCAGTAGCTAAATTGTAATGGGCATTTACTGTACATACACTCTCTTTCACTCTTTTCTCTCTCACTCATTCTCTCTCTTTCACTGTATTTCTCCCAAACACACACATACATACCCTGAGAATTTCTCACATTTCATATATAAGGCAAAAAAAGCTATGCCTTCAGTAAATGGTCTCAGACATTGGAGACCACTAAGGAACAATAATAGGCATTCAAAATCACAGTGTCAATTGCTTTAGATAAAAAACTAAATGAAGCAACTGTATAGCAGTGCTTAATTTGAGTCTAGGAAAAAATTCAGTCAATGAATTTTTAACCTTTACACACAAAACAGGTTGAGAGAAATTTGTCATGATAATTGTCAGAAGAACAAATTTTTGTTTAGGTAGAATTTAGTTCAGTTAGACATAAAAATTGATACATTATACATAATAGTTGAATGTTCTTTTTTATAGCTTCCAGATTTTATTGAATATAAAGATACCTGAAATATATTCATAGTCAAGGAAAAGTTTTTCATCAAAAGATATGGAACAAAGCTGTGAGTGCTAAATAAGTGACAATTTATTGCAAAGATAGGCAATGTCTATAGCACAATCAGACAATGTTTATATCACAATAAAAGGTGAACTAAGGAATCTAAGGAATCTCAGTTTTTTGCTAAAGAAGTAGCACACAAGTTTCAACTTAAAATGCAATTATTCTTGATTAAATGATCAGCTTTCTTCAAGGAAATTTATAATTATTTACATTTGTTCATACCTACCATTTCTGGTAGATATGGTTCCTTCCTACATTTCCAGTGGCATTCTGTCCCTTCTTACTGCAAATACATTCCCTATAATTGTTTTAAAAGTTGAAAATATAAAGGTACAAATTGGTTAAAAATAGATGATTAGAAAATTAAATCAACTGAAAGAAAACACACATGATTAGATTAATTCCCAATAATGTAGATTCCAGGGTAAAGATATACTCTAGAGCATTCCAGAGCAAAAAATATTTGAAATAAAGAAGGTCTTCAAAATGTAAAAAAAAATAACAGAAACCCAAAACTGATAAAACTTCAAGAACAAATACACAAATCTATAGGTATAGTAAGGTAAACACCCCTCTCTTGAGAAACTGTTAAAATGAGTGGACAAAAATCAGCAAAGACATTGAATATGTAAAACAATGACATAAATAAAATTTATAGAACATTAATAAAATACAGACGGATTCTCTTCAAGAGCACATTAAGTATTTACCAAGATAAATTATATAATGAGCCATTAAAAGCTTTTCTATAAGCTTTAAATAATAAAAACCATACAACATATATTTTGTAATTGTAATGCAATCAAGTAAGAAATTGATCTCTGAAAAAATCTCTCTGAAACTAAAAAAATTCTATATCATATCAGAAATCAAAAAGGAAGTTAGAAGATTTTTAAATAAAGATGAAAACAAAATATATTAGAACTCATGGGATAAAAATTTACCAGTGTTTACAGAAAAATTTCTATCCTGTCTTGGTTACTTTCCTCTCATTGCTGAGGCCAAATACCTAATGTCCACAATTAACGAAGGAAAGATGTATTTAGTTTACAGTTTATGGAGGTTTCAGTCCATACTCTGCTGGCTCCAAGGCAGAGTGGCACACGGCAGAGGGCAACAGTTCACGATGGAGGAAAACAGCAAAAGCAGAAAGAGCAAAAAGGGAGGAGGAGGCAGGAAGAGAAAGCCTCTTTCCCTCCCTTATATTGTATGCACACTACCCACTCCAAGGTGGGTGAATCTCTCACACCCATAGTCCCAACATTGGACCATGAATCAATCAAAAACTCTAGAAGCCTACCCCATGACTGCATGAGGCTTTGCGGGGGGGATATCTAGACATAAATCATAACATATCCCTAATGTATTGTATTAAAAAACACTGAAAATTCTCTAATCAATGACCTCAACTTCTACCTAACTTATAAGCCAGAGGGAAAATTTTCCATCAAAAGTAATAAACTACAAAGCTTGTTGCTTTCATTTGAAACTTTTTGTCAATATTTCATAAAGTTTTGTATTTATTATTTAATGCCCACTCTAAGAAGCTTATAACTTTAACATTAATGTTTCCATTCACCTTTATGTTAAGTTATACAAGTTGTACATGAGAATATAAAAGCTTGTAGTCATATATGGAATTAGTCATATATGAAATTACACAATTTATATTTCATATTTAATACATCCATATGTATTTTGTTCTTACTAAAAATGGACACACTGCAAAAACTATCTGTTTGTCATGCACACATTTTATCATGCTCTATGGAAATAAGTGACTCTCAAAGCTCACTTACCACATGCCTGCTTGGAGTCTTGCTGAATTGCCACACATCATGGATCTGCCATGGGGCATCATGAACTTACATGCAAGCAGGAAAACTGGCATCATGGCAGTGAATGTGTATCTTGTGCCTTTGCCCTTGGTTAATATACATAGTTCACTATCCTATTAAATTTCATTTACAAAAGACAAATTCAAAGATAAAATCAAAAATTTCCAGATAGCAAGAGTAGCACATATCGGGACCTTCTAAGTTTGCTGTTCTCATATCGTGAATCTGGCCTGGAGCAAATGGTCCTGACCCCTTTTAAGATCAGGTATAAATTCTGGCCATTGATAAGGGGTTAGCCATATATAGCTTTCCACCTGGTAGGATTGACCTTTTCCACTCATTTACTTCACTTCCCTGTTTCCTTGGCCCAAATATAGACAATGACACTGTCACTGTCCTAGTAAGGGTCATGCCATGTGTCACAGTGTCTAGGAATGCACAAAAAGTTTGGTTCCCAACGACCCACTGAAGTCTTGTGAGCTGGCAGCTATCACCTGACCACCGTCCAGGGCTTCAACTACACCTGGTGGGACAGTGACACTAAAATTGAAAAAATTATTAATGTAATTCATCACATTGATAGAATAAAGTTGAAAAGCCTTGCAATCACTGCAAAACATGTTGAAAAATTTGATAGAGCTAACATTCATTTATGATCTTTTTGAAAAGTCTTTGAAAACTGCACACAAAAGGGAACTTCCTTAGCCAAGTAGAAAATAACTATAAAAATTCAGTTGACAGATACATAATGATAAATGTTTAAACCTTTCCCTTGGAGAATAAAAAACAGACAAGCATACCTGCCATCATCGCTTTTGTTCAACACTGTATTGGAAATTGTAGTATGAAAATTAAATTTAAAATACTGAAAAGGAAAACCCCCCAAAAATGTCATTATAGAAGACATGCCTGTGTAGAAAGTAGAGTAACATTTTAAGTTTATCAGAATTACAAAATACAAAATAAAAATTGAAATAGTGCTGACTTTTGCTTTATACTATAGTAGAATTGATGAGACCAGACTAGCTCTTCTACCTAAACAACTTAACAAGATACATAGGGTAATATTTCTTAGGCATTGGATAAGAGTCAGCACCTGACTGTGATGCCTAAGTGAGGGGAAACACTTGCTATAAACCTGTTTGTGGTTGCTCTCTGGGACAAAATTCCTCATCATACCATAAAGAACTATAACATAAGCAAAGCACATCAATGTCATTAGTCTGTGGGGCATATTTCACAGTCTGAGTGTGTCACAATGGTTAGACTTTGTAGGGAACAATATTGGACAGAACAAAGATAAACATAAGGGGTCCCAAAAGTCTTTTTGGGAGTTCCTGACAAATCTGTGGCTGTATACTTATGACAAGAGACATGAAAATGTTACTAATGGCTGTCTTCTATAAAATTAGAAGATAAATAAAGATATTAGAAGTCAACTTGACTGAGATATCAAGTTGTAGTCCAGACAGAAGAAAGAGATCATAGAGAGAACATGTCATATATAAAACTGAGACACTGGGAAGACCACAGATGGGGACTTCACCATAAAATCTACATTCAACATCCACTAATAAAGCTTAAAACCAAGCACTGAGAAAACAGAAGGGGAAGTGGAGTTTGCCAATGAGTACAGCCTATAAGAAGGAATTGGGAAATACCTCAGTATATCCATAAATCCACCTTAACAAAGCATAAAATCAAACCTCCAGAAATGCAAGGCAATTGAGCATAATTGACATCACTGCTAGGAAAAAAAAAATCAGTTTTCAGCAAAATGTAACATAATTAAGTCTCTACAGCATAGCCACAATGTCCAGTGCCATGGCTTGGTTCATGGGTAAAAGGATTGGCCCTCAGTTTTGCGATACGGATATGGTGAGAAATCTTTAAGAGATGAGGCCTAGCGATGAGGCCTAATGAGAGGTCCAAAGATCAATGGGAATATGGGACTCTAATGACCCTAGCTCCCTGTCTTGGGATGAGATCTTTGTTTTCATATGTGTTCTGCCATGATGCTGTCCTCATTAGGAACTCACCAGGCATCAAAACAATGAAGTTGTCCAATTCTGAACTTTCAGTTTAGCAAAATGTGAGCTAAATAAACTCCTATTCTTCATAGAGTTAGTTGGCCTCAGGTATTTTATTACAATCACAGAAAATGGACTAACATATCCATTATAAAATAAAAATTTATCAGACATGCAAAGACAAAGACAAGTATGACCAAGAGCTAAGAAAAGTATCAGTTAATATAATATGACCTCAAGAAGGTATGGATGTTTTATACCAGGTAAAATGTTTAAAACAATTATCAACATGTCCAAAGACTTAAAGGGAAATATAGCTTTGGTGAGGAAAACACTGTCTCAGTAAACAGTAAGAAATATAACACATATTTAAATGGGAATTCTAAAAATTCTACAATGAGTGAATTGAAATTTTCACTGAATAAGCTTAAAAGCTGATTAAAGGGAGTGGAAGTGGGCATATAATCTGAAGAATCTCAAGTGAACACTTGAGAAAAGAACACCTGGGTAACAATTATCATTCATACAGTTGGGATTATAGAAGAATTATGATGGACTGGAAACATTATTTGAAAAAATATCAGATGAACTTTCCAGTTGATATAAAGCATTGACTTATAAATCCAAGAATATGGTAAAATCAAAGTAGAATAAACAATTACACACCTAACCACATGGTAATGAAAATTCTGAAAACTAAAGACCAAGTCTTGAAGACAGTCAGATGTGAAAAGAATACAAGGATTACAAATAAAGGAATCTCAAGATACATAATGGTAAAACTCTCATTAGAAACATGGAAGCAAGAAGATAGTTACATAGCATTTTTAAAAATGGTCAGGAAAAAAAAGTAACTTCCAACTCAGAATTCAAAGTAACCTTAAAAGGGGGTAAAAATGTTTTTCAGACAAATAAAAGCTGAGGGAAAATATCACCAATATCACTATAAAAATGACAATTTTGTAGTAAGAAAGGACGTGATACCATTAGAACTGTAGGAAGGAACTATATCTGCCAGAAATAGTAAGTATGAGCTAATGTAAATAATTATTAATTTCCTTAAAGAAAGTTGATCATTTAATCAAGAATAATTGTATTTTAAGTTGCAGTTTTACAATTTGAAAGATATAATAATACAAGATGGGCAGAACAGAATGACAGTAACTCCCCAACTTACAAATAAATTCTGTTTCAGGAGAACATTCACAAGTCAGATTCATTCCTAAGTCTGGCAAAGTGAGTCTTAAACACATTTGACACAAATACACAATGTAAAGCATAAGAACACCAAATGCAAGATCTGTTTGCATCTGTGAAAGTTTATAAATAGAATGTTTGCAAGTTGGGGAATCATTGTATGCAATTATAAGTTTCCTACCTTTCTGAATTTCTGTGTGTGGATTGTGAAACTGTGAACTCCAGC